TATTCAAGTAAGAAAAATGGCACAGGAAAATTTTCAAGTAAGAAAATGGCACTGTTACTCTTATGGTGAAAATCTTGGTAATACTGTTTGTTCAGTACTTTTGCAACTTTCTGTGAACTTACAATTATTTTAAAAATAATTTTTTTTTTGCAGTTTTTGGCCGGGGCTGGGTTTGAACCCGCCATATCCGGCATATGGGGCCGGTGCCCTACTCCTTTGAGCCACAGGCCCCCTGAAAAGCTACTTCTTTAAACTTATGGAACAACTCAGACATTTTTCTGATGTTTGAAAAATCTCATTCTTCCTGAGTATTTTGTTTAGACAAAATGTACTACAATTTGTTTTGCATTTACTTTAATTCTATTCTTGTATAAACCTAGAACAGAATTTCTCAGCCTCAACACTACTGACATTTGAGGCCAGATCATTCTTTGTTGTAAGTGGCTGTCCTGGGCATCGTAACATGCTTGCTTAGCAGCATACCTGGCCTCCACCCACTAGATGCTGGTAGCACTCCCTCCTCCCTTGTGACAACTAAAAATGTCTCCAGATGGAGGTAGTTGTACCTTAGGGGTGGGAAGAATTACCTCTGGTTGGAAATTGCTAATTTAGAGAATCTGGAGCTGCACTAACCAATTTAGTAGCTACTAGGCACATTTGGCAGTTTAAATTTAGATTAAAACTAAATAAAATTTGACCTTAATAGACCAAGGAGGTACAAGATGAATTTGTTCTATGTATATATTGAATAGTGGTGAAGTCTGGGCTTTTAGTATGCCCATCACCCTTAAATAAAATATAAAATTCATTTCCTTAGTTGCACTACCCACATTTCAAGGACTCAACAGCTGCTTGTGGCTGTAATACTGGGCAGCACAGATACAGAAAATTTCCATCACCAAAGAAGGTTCTACTGGGCTAGCACTGTAGAGCTGGACAGTTTATTTTACTTGTTATATCTAATTCTTGTCTCTGAAAGAGGCAACTTTGGCCCTCTTTCTAAACTAAATAATTACATCTCAGCTCATTTATCATTCTTATACTCATCCTGAGCTAAGTGTTTCTTTTCCCCCCTTCTCTTTGGACCTGATTTTAGAAAATTTTTTATCACCTTATTGTTATGCTAGAACTTTATTTTATTTTTAAGAGACACAGTCTCACTTTATCACTCTTGGTAGCATGCTGTAGTATCACAGCTCACAGCAACCTCCAACTCCTGGACTTAGGCAATTCTCTTGCCTCAGCCTCCTGAGTAGCTGGGACTACAGGCGCCCGCCACAACCCCTGGCTATTTTTTGTTGCAGTTTGGCTAGAACTTTAGAAGGAGCAACATGAGCAGCATGGATAGAACATTCCTGGTTGTTACTGATAAGGATTGCCAGTAAGTAGATTTCTGTTTCTGTTCTTAAACAGTATAAGAAAACTCCTAGTAGGCAAGCTTGAAATGACTAGTTTCTGTGTATGCCTTTAGGCATAGATCCCCTTGAATGGGAGGACTTCTGTGAGGCAGTACCAGGCTGTAATTTTAGTGTTCATTTAAAGCTGATCACTACATCATCATGGTATGAGGCGTTTGGATGCAGGTACATTTTGGTTATGGCTGTAAATGATTATCTAATGCTGGGTGCCAGGAAAACCTGATGGGACTTAGCTATAGTACTATAAGGTATGATCAATACCCTGATCCTAATAAGGTATGGCCTTTGTGAGTCTTGATTTATTCAAGATTGCAGAAGATTATGAGTTATAGGTAGGAATTGCTTGAGCTTTATGTCATTGGTTTTCATGCAAAGGAGAAATTTGTTTTGATTTATAATTTTTATTATTCAAGGGTCAGCTATGGTGTGAGCCCAGTGCTGTGTATGGAGACATGAGGTGAATAAAACATGATTCCAGGGCATACATTTTTAGACAAATCCTGTATAACAAAGATGGGTAAAAAGTACAAGAATTAAGAAACAAATGAGTGTGGCGAGTAAATGGCCAGGATGAGACT